AGACAAAAGAGCACGGGTTGCCCCCCCAAAAAAAAAAAAAAAAAAAAAAAAAAAAAAAAAAAACAGAGAAGCAGCTGGTTGTGGGGGGCCCATGACAATAATCTCAGTTTTTCAAGAGTCTCAGGTAGGAGAATCAAGAGTTGGGAGGCCAGCCTGGGCAACTTAGCCAGACCTGTCTCAAAATAAAAAATAAAAAAGCTGGGGATGTAGTTCAATGCTCCCTGGATTCAATCCTCAGTAGCATAGGAAAAAAATTAAGAGACCATTTCAGACAATTTATATACATTATGTAGCTAATTTATTCTCCTTTACCTTCTTTTAATTTTTATTTATTGTATAAGTATGGAGGGAAGGATGACCTTGCTTGCCTTATACATTTCTCATTTGGCCCTAGTAGTATTGTACATATGAAAATTACGAGTTATCAAACACATGCCTATTTGTGTGCACTGGTCATAAAATGATTCAGTGTGGTGTATGTCAAAATTATTGATTTTATTACTTATTTTTAAATCAACAAGGTCTGCAATAAGTCATGTTAAGTATGATCACCAGATTCCCAAGGTAAGCCACAAAATGCTTCCTTAAATATGAAGTAGTTGAAACAAAGTAATGTAAACCTAAAAGGCAAACAGAACAAGCCCTTGAAATAAGCAAAAGTAAAGTTTACTACTTAAAAGACTTTAATGTGTACCACCTAGTTCTTGAAGAAAGGCTAGCTAATTAGATAAGGATCAGGAAATAGATGAAAATATATGGAAATTTTCTACACTACAATGTGCTGTGGGAATATAAAACAAAATAGCAAAATTTTGTTGTAATGTACAGGTCAGGAAAAACTTCAAGGAGGGAATATCTGAACCAGGTAGTGAAAAATGAAGAGTATATCAGATAAGAATTAAAAGAAAAATTCAAGCAATGAAAGAAAAAATGGTGGCTGTACCCAAGATACAAAGGCCAGGTACAACTTCTAATGACGATGGTATAGTACCTGTAAATTAGTGTAGAAAGTTACATCTATTCAAAACCTACTATACTTGCAAGTTAAAGAAACAGGCTCAAAGTGGTAAAGTGTTATGTTCAAAGCTAAGCAGCAATTGGGAAACAAAGGTAGGTTTCAAACCCTCATCTATGTAGAATCTAATGTTCTCTTCTTTTTTTTTTGAAAGAAAACATTTACTGAATCAAAATCAATACTTTCTAATATCTACAAGCCAACAATGAATTCACTTTATTCAAGAATGAACAGTGGGCCAGGGATTTAGCTCAGTGGTTCCACCGCCTGCCCTGCAAGCACAAGGACCCGAGTTCGATCCCCGGTACCAAAAAAAAAAAAACGAAGAATGAATACAATGTACAAAAAAGTATGCTTATAAAAATATGTTAATCTTATCTTCTGGGTCTGAACAGAAGTCATTTTAAACAAAATCAAAACAAAGTTGTTCTCTATAATGAAACCTCTCCAATTTCCTAACAGAAATGAAAGCGAATGTAAAGCCCACTGCTGCTGCTGCCCTGGAAATGTGACCCAGACACAGGTGGACATTGCCACCCTGGGCTCTGAGGTACCACTTCCTGCACGTGCAGAAAGCAGCTCTTCCACCAAACGCATCACTGCTAACACTGTCGGTGCCACTCAATCAGTCTTCCTTCAGCTTCTCTCATTTAACAGTTGTTAGCATCTATTTCAGCAAAGTAGTAACAGGATAAAGAACACTGAGCACAAAAATCCTACTTATTTCATCTGCTTCAATTTAAACATGAGATCCACTGCTATGGGCAGCAAACGACCTCCCAAGATTTTACAAACCCATTTATGAAGGTGGGAAAGCTGCTGTCCTCCACTCTCAAAAATCCTCAAAGCCTCCATAGGAAAAATGTATGACCGAGGCTAGCATCTCCTTCAAGCTCCTCACCGGCACCCGCAGCACCTGGCCTGGGCCTATGCGGTGAGGGTCCAGCTCACTCCTGTGCAGTAAGGCTCTAGTGATTGGGAAAGGCAAATTCAGAAATCACCAAGAGCTGAGGCAAAGGGACACTGGCCCTTGTATATTGTTCCAGGAGCTATGTGACAATAAAAAACACTGCACTCTAAAAGTCAGAATGCATCAGGGCTGATAATGCCAAGAAAACCCCGTCCATGTCTCAGAGCCTGAGCACTGTGGTGTCCCGGAGGAGCTGAGCCTAGATGAGCAGTGATAACAACACTCAGGCAAATCCTGGAACGCAGGTCCATAGTGAAGTAAAGACCACAGAAGGATTAAAATTTAAAATACTCAGCTGCAGGAGCTTTTGTCTTGACAGAGCCTCTCTGTGCTTGGCACTGACACCTCTGGAGGCCCCAAACAGCTAAATACAAAGATCACATCCTGGTGCCCCACTCTGCTGGGTAAATCAACTTCAGAAATGCTTTGTTTTTCATAAACCAAACGTTTCTTAAGTTACCTGTTTAACCTGGGACTGAGGTTTTCCCTGGGAAAGGGGATAAATGAAGGCAGAAGAAAAAACTATCCTGTTCCTCTATGCAAACACTAACCCCTTATAGCTCTCTTAAGTTTTCCATTAAGCGCCATTTCCTGCATGAAATATTAACCCTACCAAACGGAGATAGGCCTAAATTGGACATAGGATTTAAACATTTAATACTACACTGATTCTGGCTTAATTTAACCCTATGCTCTACTATGGAACAGAAACATTTATACAAATATTTGAAATACACAAAATTTGTGAAAGATAAACATATTTTGGAACCTTAGCAAAGGCTTCTTACCAATACCATAAGAAGCCACCATAGGAAAAAAAAAAGCCACAGTATTGGTCGTTTTCACAGCTCTTGTTCTTTCTACAATACCATGTTACTGTTAAGTATGGGAACAAAAATAATCGTGTAAATTTGGGTTTTTTACTACATTATGCTGGTGGAAGTTTCAAGACCTAAAAAAAAATAATAACCCATTAAAATTTTAGGGCAAAAACCATTATAAGATTTTATAAAAGCTTCAGATGAAGTTTATTTTCCTGAATTAGATTTCTGAAGTCATCTCTTGCTGAGCACCATGGATGTCGTACTTTAAGTACTATGGATTTTTAATTATACACTAACTTAGGAACTTATACTCTGTGTCAGGCACCATGCTAGGATCAGGAGAAATAGCAAGAAGCAAGAGAACTACCTTACTCTCCTAGCAGCTGAGCATGAGGGTAGACAGATGCTGTGGAGCCCACAGACTGCCCAAGTTCAAATTCAGGACACCTCTACAACCTGTCCCACCTGGGGCCTGTTACTCAAATGCTCTATCTCTTTCATTATATACAAAACAGTGATAATGCTAACAGTAACTACCTGCTACAGTTTTGTAAAATAATTAAGAAAATACCTGACAGTCAGCAAATTTTATTTGTTACAATTAGCTGAAATCAATGTAAAAAAATAAATGGCACAGCTCTGGCAAAAAACACAGAATAAGGAATTACAAAATTCAATCAGAAGCTGCAAATATACAATAGATAGTGTGGTCTAAATAAAAGAAATTGGCTGTGTGAAGGATGTCATACATGATTAACAAAAAGGCACAGAAAATCCCCTTAAGATTTTATAGCTCAGTACAACTAAAGAGGAAAGGTAGATGATGCTGGCATGGAAAGCCATTCAGAGGTTATCTGTCATTATGTTAATAGCTTCCCCATATTATCTGTGGACAGCTTGATGACAAAGGTCCGTAGCTTCTACTTGCTTCTCTTTGTTTGATGGCTTGGACTCCCGCTTCCGTGACACCGTCAAAGAGGTGTCACCATTCCTGCCGCTACTCTCCATTATTAGAATACACACCTAAAGGCAGGTAGGTAGGGTCACAGCGTGGTTTTCCGAAGACACCTTCTAACTACAGCCCTCTGCCTACTGGACGCGTCCGGACACCTGAGGTCCACCCGCACAGGCTTCGGAACACCCTCGCCGGCACAGCCCACTTTCCCTCGCTCCGGTGTCCCCTCCGCTTCCCGCGGGAAGGCCACCTTGTCCCCACGGCCCGTCCTCCCAGGGCCCGCCCGGCTCCCTCCAGCCCCCGGACTGCGGATGCAGCTCTGCCGGCCTCGCCCTCCGCAGGTGCCTGAGCCGCGCCAGCGGACTCCGCGCTCCCCGTCTTCCCGGGCTGCGTTTCCTCAGGACGAGCCCCACACAGCTCAGCCGGCCCTGAATGGGAGAGAGAGCGGGCCGAGCGCTAGCTTCGCGGACCTTTAGGTCCGCTCCTTCCGCTCCCAAGATCTAGGCTCCGGCGAGAGCCAAAAAGAAACAGTCCTCGGCTGCGAGCCAAGATGCCACAGAACAGCGGGATCCTTACCACAAACACGGCTTCAGGAATCCCTAGGTGCAGCCGCCGCCCATTCCCCACAGCCACTTCACTCAATCCATCACCGTCCTTGGCTGCCGCCATCTTGAGGATACGAGCGCGAGTAACTGCCTCCAGCGATGCCAGCCACTCAGAATGAACGATTGGCTCGTTTTCAGACACGGCCCCGCCCCTTTCCCATGAGTCTGCTCATTTATTAGTGTGTAGGAAGGAACCGCCCCTTCTTTGGCCCAGTTGCCCACTTTCGGGGTGCTGATTGGCTACACGCAGATGAGCGACAAGCGTAGCAGGGAAGGGACGCAGAGAAGAAGCGGGAGCTGCAGAAAAGACCAATAGGGGCTCCCGGGAAAGGGAGAGCTCTTGTGGCGATTTTGTGATTGGACAAGGCTAAAGCTCTGGGAATGGGGACCCTGCCGGATCTCACCTGCGCTCCCAGACAGGTTGCACACTCCGGAATGATTTCCGGAGTGACTTCATCCCCTATCAGACCCAGGGGAGCCTGGGTCTAGACACCACCCTGCGCCTGACTGATCCCACTGTCCCAGGGAGCTTTACCGGTCCTAGCTTTAGGTCTCTTTCGAAGTGGAGCCCTCAGCCTGATGATAATACACACCATCTCACCATCCTTTCCTGAAAGCCACCTTTCCGGTCAGAATCTCAAAAAATTTTAATGCTTCGCACAAAATCTTAATTCAGGCCAGGCGTGGTGGCGCAGGCCTGTAATCCCAGCACTCGGGAGGCTGAGGCAGGAAGATCGCTGAGAATTTGAAGCCAGCTTGGGCTACATAGTGAGTTCAAAGATAGCCCAGAATACACAGCGAAACCCGTTTCAAATAATAATAAAATAATAATAATAA